TTGTTCAAAATCAACAAATGCAAGTAAGTTCGTTAAACAACGCAGACTGATTTTACGAAAAAAACTTAGTGCCCACAATTTTTTTTGCTTGGCAAAAATTTTCGTATAAATATATGCAACAATATTTTCTTTAGGAAGTTTATTGTCCGCTAAAGATTTGCACAGAATTTGGATTCGTCATTTTTTTTATTGAGAAAACCCCCAGACACCAGAAGTCTAGGCGTGCGCATCTTAACTAACTGACCGATTTTAATAAAAATAAAAAAGATTGTAAATATTGAAAATCCCATTCAAATTATGTATCATTTGACCCATTGTCCCATTAGAAATTTGGAAAGGATTTCCCCTAGTACAGGGTTAAAATTGCAAGAATGATTGCAAATTAACCCATGTTTTGTCAAAACATTTATTTTGTCGAGCTTTAGACAATAACAAATTTAGAACTACATTTAGAATTACTTGAAAATTACTAAATGACTTAAATAGTTAGTCGAATTATTGTCAAAATAGGAAGTAATTCGAAGTAGGTGTACAAATTTTCGAAAATGATCGGTTATCTATTTCTTCCCGTGTCATTCATATAACTTTGATTATATTCCTGAATAAATGTCTCTATTAAACTCTTTATTTTATTTTAACAGAATTTTCGTTTTTTTCTAGAATTGTATTAATTTTACTTACCTATTCCCAATTTCTAAGCCGTCCTCCCAAAACTAACCGTAAATGCATCTCAAATTCTTTTTAATACTCATTAAAATGCATTTGCGGATTTTGGTTACTTCTACCTCTTTTTCTGAACCTTTTTCAATCTGCTTATGGTCAACAATATCTGCTTCTTGTTTAAAAGTTATCGACATCCGCATCCACTTTTCTATAAGCTTTTCGTTGGTTTTAAATTTTTTTTAATTGCTCGTTTCGTTCCTTCTGTCCATCCTCAATGAAATAAAGAAAATCTCTAACTTGCTTTTTGACTGAATTATCTGCAACTTCAGTGTGACAGAAATCGCATCCCCATTGTTATGTGGTAGTAGCGTATAAACGTAGTTCTATTCCAGATACTCATCTATGGCGTATGATTATTTATTTACACCCTTACACTACACAGTTTTATTCCAATTTCATGTGGTCCATTTTTCAATTCCTTGCCCCGTTTAGACCGGTATAATTTTTACTGCTTCCAATAATTTCCACTCTGATGGTCTCTTTTCTTATGGTGTGAACAGTCACATCACTGTTCTGATCCCTAATGTCCATGTTAGCTGCTCTCAGGTACTTACGACGAGTCTTAACTATCTGGGTTCCATAAAAATTAACTGTCAGTTAATTTTAACAAAAGAGATACTCCTCGGATACACCGATCTTCAATGGTATGCTAATTTTTACCTGATGCAAACTTTAGTCTGCTGATGATGCTATTAATTACAATAGTGATTGTGTTGTGTTTTACAGGGACTTTTAAGTACGTACGCCAGTTATAGATATACTTCAACTTTGAAATTGTCTATGAAACGCTGGTAGTCTTATATAAGAGCAAGAAAGGCGTGTTTCAAATTTGCGTATAATTATCACAGCAACAAAATGGTAACGGTTTAATTAGCAGCTCGTTGCTAATAACCTCGTCAAGGATTTCATGGTTTCGGACACGAACGTTAACAAACCTAAAAATGTGGACTGCTTTGTACCGCAACTTCACGAATGTCATTACCAAGTGTGTAATTTTGTTGCAGAACAGATGTCAGGCATAAAAGGAAGTGCAAGTATTAATAAATAGCTTCAAAAAAATTCGACACATTGTTTAATAGTGGAAGAAATCGAAATGTACATACTACACTTATACCTACCATTCATTGTATGAGAGCAGCCATGTGCGGAAATAACATGTAATTTACGTATCCACTTATGTATATTGGAAGTCAAACGAGCCCATATTTATACGGTTTGACAACCATATATAAAGTTAAATACTACTACATAACGTATACGTGCATGTGTAGGTGACAAAATAATGACGAGTTTGCTTATTATTGCAGCAACATAATGAATGGTTTTCGACTACTGAAATAGAGAAATTGGTGTTTTAATGAAATGGTATTTTATTTTTGACGTGTACGTGTATACGAAACTGATATACGTGCGTGTCTTCGCCCTTAATTATAATTTCATTTGCTGCAGTTAATTTCGATTCTTGATTTTTTCCGAGGCGATATACGTCTACGTCCCACTTACAAAGTAATCACGTATAGGTAGGTATATTTGCTAGGTATAATTACAACGAAATTTTATAGAACTTAATTTATATTTAAATTGTAAAATCCACCATGACATGCGTATAAAAACAAGGAAATGTATTTAGTCATGGCGTGAGGGTTGCAACGTAACCATAATCTCATTTACTGAACAAAGCCATCTGAAGATAATCATAGCTGTTGGAGGCATCACGTCGTGATGGTGTGTTGTAAACACACCAATCAAATTCTTTTAAGTATCTTTATGTACCTGGCCCGGTACCTAATTTTCTATCTTACCAACAAGGGTCCCTATAATTATTTATAGGATACCGAATTTTTATAACATTATCTCACGCGGATTAGGCGAGCGTAATTGTGGTTTTTCTAGCAGTTATTTATTCTTGTACGTACTATACCTACTTAATTAGAATGATGATGCCGATTACCCAAACTTTCGGCGTGCAAAAATTATGTAGTCATAAAGCTATGGTTCGGCGATTCTTTCTTCGAGCAATAAATTAAGAGGCGTTGATAATGTTATAAAATGTTGGGTGTGTATTAGATGTATCTGGTTGATAGATCAGGAATTTTCCATTTAGATGATTGATTGGACGATGACTTTCAAAACTAACAGTGGAAACTTGGAACAGAGATTCGTAATTTTGTGATCTATCAACAAGATATCTAATAGTCCCCAATAATCATAATAGAGATTTCAATGATTAGTTAATAGGAAATCAAGTGCAGGTAATTTATATTCTTGCATGAGTAAATGAAGTTTAGAAGTTGTTTATTACGTTGATGAAGATTTGAATGTATTGCGAATTTTAGCGCTGATTGCTGTATCAACATAAATACCACTGACTAAATCAAAGCACGTGATTATGAATATATAATTACGGTAATTAATTCATTAATTCAAAAGACTAGAAACAGATTTAGATAAAGAAAAAAGAATGAACGTGTTAAAAAGGAACAAATCAAGAGCAACAATAAATGCAAGAAAATTCCACGAACGCAAGAAAGACTTGTAGATCTTTTAAGCACGATTATTGAGCACAAACTAGCCCAGATACAGAATTGATAAAAACAAACACAGAAAATCAGACATTCATATGTGCCTATGTATGTATGTCTAAAAATCTAAACTGTTGTAAGGTTTTCATAATCAATTACAAATTAATTTGAAAAATCGGAACTATATTTTTTTATTAAATAGAGATATCAAAAAAACATTCTTTAAAAACCAGGGAGAATACATTTTCCTTTTGCTTTTTTTAACTACCCCCATCACCTCCTTAAGCACAACCCATTTTGACGTAAAAATCTTAAATTAAAATACTTCTTTTGTGTCAGCTCTCTACAAAAGCTTATAAAGATGTTTATTTGTTACTCAGTTGTAAACGTTGATTAACAAGACAAAACGCAAACGGGTAAACGTCATGTTTAAACGCTACTGACTTGTAAAACTGACAGCAGACCTGTAAAACTGACAGCAGACCTGTAAAAATTTTACAAGTTAGTAATCTAGTAATTTCATTGGCCAGAATTAATGCAAAGTCTCTGTTACATGGATAACATGATATTTTAGACATTTCTTCAAGATTAATTTAAGAACTAATTATTTACGTTTACTATTGTTTACAAATGAGTAACAAATAAAATATTGTACATTATACGCCAGGTAATAGTTTTTACTGGCTCTAGGAGGTGACAAGCTCGCCTAACGGCTCGCTAGTCAACTTCTCCTATTGCCAGTAAAAACTCACTTACCTGGCTAATAATGTAAAATACTATTTTCACTGGTCATAAAAAATTAGGGTGAACTTAGAAAACTAACCTCAAATGTTAAGGTAAGTAAGTCGGAAAACGCATAATGCCTATAATTTTTTTTACGAATAGAGATATCAATGATAGATGTGGTTGTTGTAAAAACTAGGGAGAATTTACAATAATTTCCATTGTTGGTTTCACGCTATAAGCTATTTTTAAAAATAACAAACGAACCAGATGGAAGATAATACCGGTACATTAAAAACAAGTATAAATTGTGAAAACGAGAAACCACACAAACTAAAAACATTTGTTTTAGTGTCGAATGCGCTGTTTTTCTTTTTAAAAGGTTATGTACACAAACAAAACTGCCGATACTGCGAGTGACGAAAACCTATCCGATTTTTCAGAAGGGCATATCCAGGACCCATAAAAACATAATGTTTGGGCGGGCGAACCGAATGACAGGTCCATTTTTTATCGATGGTAATAAAACTGGCGAGGATTACGTGGAGGTGCTTAACAATTCGATAGAGCTATCAATTGTCTATGAAATTGAAAATCGAATGGATTTAGAAGGAAATTAAGTGGCCACCAAGGTCTCCGACCTTACTCCATTGGACTTTTTCCTTTGGGGTTACATTAGCTCTTTAGTGTATAAAACACAGCTTCCTTGGATAAATTGTGTAAAAGAAGTCCAAGAGAAATGTTCCAAAACGTTAGGCAAGAATTTGAAAAACGTTTTTGCTTCTGCCTCGAACAGAATGACCGTTATTTGAACATTGTAATTTTTTCTATTGTTAATTTGTTTCTGTTGAAATAGCAGTTATCTTGAATTTGAGGTTAATTTATTTCAATTTCAATTTCAATTCAATTTTATTGTTACCTTTTGACAATGACAATGACAAATTATGTTTATGTGGTGTATTTTCTTAAGTCGACATTATTGTTCAAAAGTAATTTAGATCGTAACATGGGATACGTTTTGCACAATGTTGTAGATGCTTTAATTGCCTGTGATAATGTAAGCCAACACTACGTTTTCTGAAAATAAGTGTGTTTTTTCCTCATCCCCCCGCTCCAAAGATTTGTCCCTACACTGCTTTTGATTTTCCAAGAAGTAATAATGTTTTTGCATTTTCTGCTGCCGCGGTGATTTCCGGGGGAGTACTTGAAAATTACATTGGACCACCACTGCTGCTAATTTGCGCTACAGGCAATTAAAATTCAAAATAATGCGTAAGTTTAATTAAAATTTTGACAGTTTATGAATTGTGATTTGGATATCATTAATAGATGTCGCCACATGTGCTCATTCCATCACAAGAGATAGAATGAAATTATTCCACTTCAGTATAACAGAATAGGCGACATTCTGTTGTTAAAAGTATGGCAAGTATGAAGCGATTCTAAAGTAGTAGTAGAAAAAATTATGTCTTGCAGAAAACCAAGCCTGGAGAGAGCAGAGCAAAAATTTGCCAGTTAGCATTAATGAAATGGCTGAATATGAAGGAAGATCTAAATAGGTAGATATGTAAATAGAGTAACAAAACAATAACGAATCACTCATTCCAATCAATAGCCGTTACTAAATTAGTAGAAATTAGCCGAATGATGGTGTTACTGAGCAGGAATAAAAAAAAATTACGGAGCACAGCTCGGTTTCGTTGACCAAACCTTATCTCCAAATGGACGAACGATACCATCTCTGACTCATTAATTGTCTTTGTACAAACGTTTCCGTTGTATCCGTCGTACTTTTAGGAAAAATGTGACACTGAAGCACCATGTGTGATACTTCGTTGTAAAGAGAAAATAAAACGTAATTTCAAAATGTCAAAATTCAAATTGTCTCCATACAAAAAATTAAAGTTGCCTGCACGTGTTTCTCCGTCATCTTGATAATTATTAAAAACTGGATGCCATATTCGAATTCTCCATGAAAAATGTTGCAAGAATGTTTTGGTTAGAAATTAGATTAGGTTACCATGAAAAAATTAAAAACGAAAATCAGAATTTTTCGATTCTTTGCAAACTATTGAAGATATTTTCAATATTGAAGCTATTATTTAATTTTTTTTTCAAATTATTATTCAGCACAAAAAATTCGCATCTTAGCCAACTGTCGCAATCTCTTAAATGATAAGCGAGATCGCCAGTGGCACTCGAAAAATTGACATCACTCTGATGACAGGCGTTACTACAAAAGAAAACTACTATTCTTTCACCAATTTATGATGTATTACTCTACTCTAGTGTATTTAATGACACATTCTTTTAAAAAGACATCTTCCGGTTAGTGTTATACCTATTAAACTAGTGAACTTGCGTTACCTATAAAGATCCGTGTGATAACAACTCTCCAACCAACCGTCTTATACTTTGCTTAGGTATTGTTAATTACAACAAAAAATGGGAAACTAATGATTATCTTCCGGATATTCCACAACGGATGCAATGGTTTTGATGGTTTATTCCTTATATGCGTTGAAAAATATTAGAATGGGCTACGTTCTACGATGAATAACTTAATACCTCAACCTCATTAATTATCCTGCAAATTGTGACCTAATTTAATGGGCGTAATTGTTAATCACTGTTTGGGAAACTTAAGGAATAGAACAGGATTTATAGCAACAGGCGATCGTATCAGATCGTCCTTCTACACGTCAAAATTAAGTAGGTACTCAAGAAAATTGCATAATTTTCATATGTAAATGTTTCAGGTTGTCGGTAATTTACATGTAAATCAAAGCTTGTAAATTTAATCCGTATCTTTTTCTATATCGAAGGGTGTCAAAATATAAATATGAGTTTTAGGCAGCTTCATAATTATATACGTACCTATACTTTAGAAATATCGCCTTGTATATATCAGAATGAACATATTTATAACTCTAACATCGTGTATTTGTGTACACACGCAGTTCAAAAATGGAAAGGGTCATAAAAATTATATAAGGTTACGATACCCGCTAACAACCCGTCTTTCAAACAAAGGCACACTAAAAAAGGTCACAAGTCATCATAATAACATCATTCATGCATACTTCAATACCCGTCAATAGTCATAACTTAATATGAATATCCAGCTTACTAATAATTCCGACATTCTCAAAACAATTCTATTAAAATCGCATTAAAAGCCTCAAATTTATTGTGTGTGATAAATGACTTCATTTCCATAATATCCTTCAACTGAAGAGATCTTCTTAAGATGAGACGTAATGGACATGTGAAATATTCAAAGTTAATAGTGAACACACCTTTTATATTATTCCGACGATGTTGTCTTTGTAATACACTAGCAATAATTTATGTTAATACAACTCCACACAAAGGCAAAAGTATCGTCGGTTAGATATCAAGCAGCTTAGTAGACAGCTTGGTAGGCTCGTAAAGATGAGACAAAAATAAAAGGAATGTTTCGGAAAAATAGTTGGTTAGTTAAGCAACCGCCTTTGGATGTTCTACACAACTGTTTTCGGCCATAAAAAACGAACCCGAGGATGGTGTGGATGGTGTATTATAAAATAAATTTTGATTGCTTTCTCTTTGTATGTAAATCAAGACAATTATCGATATAAATAGCTCTATTGTTATTTAATTTAATGTCGCCTTGCTAAATTTCACCTCGACAATCTTAAGTTGGTTATGTGGCGATAAAGCGACGGTGTTGTTGCACAAAACAACTAAATTAGTCTTCGTTTATTACCATTTCACGTTCCTATACGATTTGTTTACAACAATCATTATGTGACTTCATTGCAGGTTGGTTAGAATGGCCTGGGACATTTCACCACGCACTACGGTACAGTAATTTCCCAGGAAATTTTAAAAATATCCTGAAGACGATTAAGTGAAAGCACGCTTTTAAACGCGAGTTTATCGCTCTTTTATATGACGCCGTCCAAAGCTTAATAGCTCTCTGCGGTATACCGAACAAGGTGATTAACAGATGTCAGTGAAAAATATTTTTAGTAAGATGACCCGCAGGGGTTCCACTTCTTCATTGGAGGGAAAACTCGAAACCACGCCTCCCCCTTTCCTGTTACACAGAAGGCCCTCAAGCACCACCATGTGTGGCATATGAGTTTAGAATGGAGGTCCTTTAGCAAGAAGTTAGAAATTCTTAGGGCGATCCCAGAAGTTTTATTAAAAACGCACCAAATGGCCGGAACGATCTATAAAGTCGACAAGTGCTGACTACACTTTCGGTAAATGTTTTCCTACCGATATTGTTTTTATAGCCGACCCAAGCGAAACTGCGATTGAAATAGTAATTAAAAAAGAACAACCCTTGGGTGAATTTCGCCAACTACCATTACCGCGCGCTGATAGATTTATCTTCGAAAAGGATATCCATAAAAGATTATCTTAAATTTATCGACCGGTTAATTGGCAGATTAAATTGTTTATGAATACAGGTGTACGCAGGTAACCCAATCGCGTGTTGTTATTAAAAGCCTGTTTTCCATAATCGTTTGACCGTCAGGAGCTTCACACTGTCAGATAAAAACTAGATACCTTTCCTATTCCTTCTGACGAGCATTTTCTATACATAAGTCTAAATTATTTTTTTTTATTATGTATTTAAATGTTTATTAGCTGCAAGCAAATATCCGAAAGATTTTTTTACTAGGTAATAAAGAACTAAACTAACATTCCTAAATGACTATTTACTAATTACATGCTGTATGACACAAGACAATAACATAAATCAACTCAAAACTATGTAATTCACTGCACAAACGATCATGGTGTGAAATCAATTATAGCAAATAATAATTAATAATTACGAACATATTAGATCCAGTAGGTACCTGCTGCCTGCAACTGTTTATACCATAGCATTCTCTATTACCTTAGAAATTATTAGCACTTCGATTTCTTTTATAAGTTACGTTAATAGTTATCTTGCACTATATTGCATTTTAGCGTAAATTGTGTAGCACCTTCCAAATGAGAGTGTCACCAGAATTTTTATCTTCATGCATTGTAAATTTACTAAAACTTTTTGTCAACCTTTTATTGCCATTTTAAGACCACTTAAACCTGATCAACAATATTTCCAAAACATTTTATGTTCTGAACGTCACTAACGCTGAGAAAAAATCCAACTAATTATTCAATTATAAATCATCGCGCATTTGATTGATAATCGATCAGTTGAATAGTTTATTATTTAACGAAATTATTATTTGAGGGTAAATGTGAGACGAAAAATATAGAACCATAGAAGATAGGACGATAGGAACACTTTATCATGCTGTAAATAAAACAAAAATATTCCGATTACTTCCGAAGACCGACATTTGCCGTTTGTTTTAATTTTTTCCTGATGTAATTTGAGCAGTAGAAAAATAAACAAGTTGTAAATCAGCATATGCATAAGCGCATTTTTTGTAATGCAGATTAGTATTTCATTAGCAAAGTTTAAAATTATCGATCTCACGAGTAATCTAACTGAAAATACACTAGAGCCTGCACATCTACACTATAACAGAAAGTTTTTAGTGAAAATTTAAAGTCTATAGCAATTGTAATTGCTGAGATCTCAGCCGGACAGCTAGCCATAACGAATATAATAGCCTCTTTTTTTCCAAAAATGCGCTAAAAACACAGTCTTATTGTCACTTTTTGAGCTCTACAAGACAGCGTTCAAAGATTTTTCATACAACGTTTCATTTTGGAGAATTCATCTCAATCATACTGTATTTGGTAGCATTTTTTATTACGAATACAACGATGCACGGCACACAAAAAAACAAAAGTTCGAAACTGTTGGTTCCAACAGGACGGTGCGCCCGCCCACAACCCCCCCAATTGTGCTAGAATACTTATCGGAAAAATTTTTCATTTTGCAGGTAATTTGTCTGATAGGTAGTGACTTATTTTTCAAGTGGTTAAGGAAAACGGATCGAAATAAGAAGGTAGACCAGTGGCGCAGCGTAGCCCCTTGGCGCCCGGTGCGCTGGAAAATTTCCAGCTCGGCCTGATGATGACGTGGTACGTCGAAATCGATCGCCTTTACAAATAAAAAAAATTGAGTCTCAATTTTCAATTTTAATTTCTCTATGTCTAACTCAAACATAAAATGGAGTACTTAATCAATAAAATTCAAATTACTTATTCTATTCTGAATTTGAGTACTTTTAGAGCATGTGAAGATCCTGTTAAGGGACTGTAATGCAAAAATTGGAAGAGATCCTGCAAACATACGGAAAGTAGTAATGAGAACGGGAGAATGTTAATCTATTTTGCAACGGAAAGAAATATCATAATTGCTTTAACTATCTTCAAACACAGGACAATCAAAGATGTAAAATACTGTAGAAGGAAAAATACTGACACATTCCACTTTTTAGTCAGGGTAAAAATGGAACAAGTGAAACCAATTGAAAAGACGAACAAGGGGACAGAGTGACGTATAACAAAAACAAAATGAAAACGGAAGAATGCATAAAAAAATATAGAAAAGTGGTTGAAAGTGGGCCTGCGAACCATAATTTTGAAGGAAAACAG